CGAGACCTGTAGCGTTCGAGTATAGAGCATGTAAAATGTTCATATATTCCAGAGGAACCCCTTTCCGCGCAAGTGTTTCGAACAGAAGCGATCGATCGACTGAATCGAACGCACTCTTGAAATCAAGGAACGCAGCTATTGTCAAAGGTCAAGGTTAGCGAACATATGCTTCTTCATCAGACTAGTACAAGTATATACCAATTACATTGTCGTTCTGCGGTACGGATGGTGCTGCTCTAACACCTGCCGCAAAAGGAATAGATGGTCTATACAGCCACATCCAGGGAGAAAACCTAGCTGCTCTCCTCTTATCCGAGATTCTTGTTCCACAGTGAGGTGATGAACGAGAATCGAGGCCAGTGATTTTGTCACAACTGGCGTTAGGCTAATACCCTTGTGGTTAGCAGCCTGTGCGAATGTCCTTCTTGTAAATTGCCACTATAATCGATTCGCTCCAGTTAGCCGGAAGACTTCTTTCCAGATACGTTTGAATAGGGAGGTCAGTGCTTTGCAGAGGGCAGGTAGCAGGGAATCCGGCACGAAAACGAATGAGGGCTGTGATCGCGTTTCGGACCTCAGCCTAATAGCCCATCTGATCATGTTGTGCTCAGAGCCAGTTGGGAGGTTTCTTCTGGATTCAAACAGGTTCACCGACCTCTTGATTATCCAGAGACTGGTGCGCTGATGATTGATAGTGCCAAAAGCACGTACTCCTGCGTCGTGCATGGCGACCGAGATCCTATACCACTGAAGATCAGTGTCATAAAAGTAACCGGCAATCAGAGATAGAACCGCGCCACTTGAAATGTAAAGCGACGCGACTTACGCGGGTATATCGGTGGTCAACTGCCGAAAGACGCCGGTGACACATCGATGCATTTTATGCCTGAAAGCAATACAGGCTAGAAACAGCCGACGATAGGCGTGCAGTTGAAAGAAACGTTTGCCGTCACCTGTGAACTCTAAATCAGAAATAAATATCTTACCTGGTTAAGTTTCTGATGATCACAAAAGAACAACTTAGCACTCATATCCGCTGCAACTAAGGATACAGTTGAGTTAGTAAGACTGGGAAGTAGGGCGCGAGTTTAGTGGCAGAAGACATAGTTGGCAGAACTGTGGTTCACTGGACCACAAGAAGCAGTCACGAGCGAATAACCCCAGTTTGGTCTGCTAAAGTTAGCTGACATTGATGAAGGGGCTGAGCTGAAATGGCTGTTTGTGGGATCCGACCAACCAGTGAGGGTTTAGCTGTGGAGCTAGAAACAATGTCTACTTGATCTATGGTTGCTGCAACAACGCCGAATGATGGCAACCAATAGTTAGAGAACAGAAAAGGTGTAACTTGCACAATAACCGCCTAAGAGTCGTAGACCCTACCTTTGAAAACGAAGCGCACATTAGAATTAAGGATACAGTGGGTAAGAAAGTGCGACTGCTGACTTAGCCGGCTTAGGGTATAAAATATGAACGTCACTAGGGGCGTCAGGTAGCGTGGGCCGAGAAAAGGCTTTTAATAGTAAAAAGGAATGCATACCGTTGGATTATAGTTGTCAGAATTTGCGCTAGGGTCTGTAGACCTTAGGTCCATATTAGCGCTAATAATGGAGATCGAGAGACGTACATGGAAATGATATAACAAATGAGACAACGAGAGCATTCTGGTTCCATTTATTCCCTCTACGTTGTGTCCGATGGGCTAAATTTTGAGGAGAAAGACATGCTTGTACGTCGAATAGGGCATTGATATGGAGCTCAAGCCAAGCTAAAACGCGCTTTTAAGCAAAGTGGTGTTTAGCTTGAGGTCAGTCATTGTTAATCACAAACTTGTGCACTGCATGGCTTCATACAAATAGGCGGAATCGGAACAAAACGACGTGCCGAAGTGGATAGTATGTGAAAAATGCTATCCAATCGGGTTCGTAAATGCCACTAAAGTAGAAGACTAATGGATAAATAATAGCCTTAAAGGGGTGGAGTCTAGAAAAGTCACGTTATTCAATTGGAGGCAAGCAACTGCTAACTCGTTGGGTCGACGACTGTGCTGACAACAATTTACATCAATGAGTACGTTAACTGCAGGTCGATAGCGAAATAGAGCAAGAAATAAGTATGCAGAATGAATGCGCATTGATGACCATCGGAAACATCATCAGAGAAATGCAGGTAGTGAACTAGAATCCGTGCACCGAGGTGTCGCAGATCAAGTTGCCATGACTCCAGATGTCAAAGTATGAATAATCATAGCGATAATAATAATAATAAGCATATTATTAGGGGGAAGAACAAAAACAAAGCGTCAGATGGAGCGGTTAAGAAAGTGAATGCAAGATCCTCAATGAGTGTGATTATGCCATATATGGTGATAGGACCAATCATCAGTAATCAACAAGGAAAACAACTAATATCAATCCACCGAACAGAGGTGACAATCTCTCCATGTCGTATGAGAGGGAACGGCAAGATACCTGCGGTTCTTAGACAATCTCATTGAAAGGTGAGCCGGAGGTACACTCCAACACACTGGATACCGTAAAGCAATTTGGAGTGGGCAATATATGCATGTAACCAGCTTCGCACCGGTTGCATACAAATGCGCTACCGTCAGAACCCTTTGCTATAGAGCCAGAGGTATTTGCAGTCCAGAGATGCTGCAGAGGGAAGAAAAGTTCCTACAGGGGACTCTTTTGTCAAACGGGTATCTAGAGAAATTTATTCAGTTACACAGTAGACCCTTCAAAGAGAAGCAACCAGTATGAACAGTAGAAAAAAAGATACTTGTTTATTTCTACCATTCAAAGGTGACGTTTCAAATTGGTCATAGACTTAAGCCTGCTATAACGCGCAGTTACACAAAACGGAGACTGCAGTTCAACTACCGTCCGGACAGTTCATCAGTCGGTATGGGCTGTCATATTATTTACCAGTTCATCTTCAGTTGCGGTGACGTCTGGGTAGGCAGGATCGACCGGCGACTGGCCCAAAGGGTGGCTGAGTATTTCCCAAAGTGGTTAAAGCAATCCATGGTACAACATGGAGTGAAGGATCAACTGGAGAGCGGGAACCCCGCCTTGTCTATTACAAAATACGTGTTGCAGGCCATTATGTGGATCCATCGTAGGCCTTCAAAGTGTCATTGATCAACCGCAACTTGAATATGCTGGCAATCAGTGAGGCATTACTGATTGCGGTAAACCTGCCGGTACTGTGCGCGTAAAAGCAACTGAGGCAATCTATCAGAGTGTCTTGGTCTTGATTGCTCAACTTTGATTTACCGGTATAATTTCGTTCCACATGTATATACGTTAATCTTTTACCTAAATGTATTACATTTGTGACTGATGAGAGTAATCGAAATGTTAACATATCGCAACCTTTGTCTTATGTCTGCTTTGACCAACGTTTCACGTTTCTCAAGTGAGATAACCAAGTCAGCTAGAGGTCTAGTAAGGTGAGCAAGGAATAATAAACTTAACTCGTTCGTGCTTGACAGTAAACAGCTAGCAGATCAAGCAAGCCTACGAATCAATAAACAAGAATGCCTAAGCACACTGAGAGTGAGGTTTGGTTAAGTCGCAGCTCAGCGAACGCGGTGTTACAAACGGTAAGCAGGATGATATACACCGAATGCAAACAAAGAGATAACTCTAAGCAAAGATGCTGATTAAATGAGAGCTCATAAGACAAACACTGGCACGCAACCAAGGAGACCGCGAAAGCGAAAAGCTGAAAACCATAGCGGTGAAATTAGCCGGTGTCTAAATGCAACCTGGAGCGAGAAACGCGATGGGTCCGACTTTTGAAGGAAAAAAGCGTGGGGACTGCAGCACAAAACGCGCAAAGGTTAGAGTGAGTTCGAGCAAGCAAGTAAATACCTTTAGATCCCGGTGAATCACATTATTTGAATGACAATAATCAATTGAGCTGAGTATCATTATTAGGCATGCACTGTGAATAAAAGAAAAAGCGAAGGATGATTTGAAACCTGCGCGCAAGAAACAAGTAGCTAAGATGGAGAAACATGGCAGAAAGGCAACACCGGAAGAAAACAAATGGATAAGCAAGCAAAAATAATTTCACAGTAACCTCAACAGCCTAGCAACTAGACATAGAGCCAACAAAGCCATGGAGATTAGCAGATAAGGAGAAGTCACTGCGTCATAATCATCGTGGCATGGTAGTTGAAGGTGAGCAACACACTTCAGCTAATATGCCGCAGGAAGAATGGAACATTTTGACAAAAAGTAAAACAAAACATCTTTAGTTTGTTTTTCGCACGCCGATTGTTCTCTTTTTTACAACTTTCAATTTTTTAGTATTAAGCATGTGAGTCGATACAATACTGTACACAATTCTTTGGGTCCCCATCCTGAAAGACGTACGGATCCAACAGCGGCTAAATACGACGTCAGCGATTTCATGTGCTGCCGCCAAGTGGAAGCCTGACCACCACACGGTCGCTTCCAGCCAGGTCCTTGACGAGCGACTAGAGCGCGACGCGGTAAACGCTCAGGTGCCATGCATAGGACGTGACCGACCCATCTTAACTGGCGCAACAAAACCAGTTTGTTGAAGGGAAAACTTGAATTCTCCAGGATGCGACGTCGAACGTCATTAGCATTAACTCGATGTTGCCACCAAACACGAGCGATCCTCTTTAAGCAACCGTTATCGAACGCAGAAAGACGATGTATGTCTTCCACAGTGCAACCTGCTGGATTGGTACGAGTGTTCTCCGACCCCAGTCTAATGCCCGAGTACCTGGGCTAAACTGTCTTGCTTCAGGGAAAGCAACATTGAATACTATGGGTAAATACATGGAAACGAGTACTGTGGTAGTTCGAGCATGCGTAGATGTCAAGTTTGCAATCGCCTGTTCGGAAGATGACAGACGAAATAACAATTCTAAAAATGAAGAATGAGTGGACATCTTAACTTCAATTAGAACGCAACTGATCAGCCGAAAATGGGTTGTAACGAACAGGTGGAACAGGGGTTACCTGGCGTCGGCTTCACTGTAAAATTCCCGCGCGACGATATCCTCAAATAGCTCACCACCAGTGACGCTGAAAGAAAAATCACATCAAATAAGAGGCTAGAACCGAATGAAAAGGCTTTCGATAAGCAACGTGGTGAAATCCAAGGAGTTTCCCTACAGTTGAGGTGGCGAGCATGTACGAACGCGTTCGTGCTTTCAAACCATAGTGAGTTTGTAATGCGATAGTCAGAATGAATTTAAATCCGAACCTTGTGCTCACGGACGTGAAAGCAGTTGAGGGCGAATGAACATTCGCAAATGAATAAGGTAAAGCAAGTGGGCTGGACCGTAGCACGTGTCCAGTGCACTATGTAAATCCAAATGCAGATGACAAATGTGACATGGGCCTGTGATTATATGAGAACTCCTGCCCATTATCAACAAACCCGCCGTCTGTATCGTAGAGGAAGACGTTTGCAGAGTCGTGGAACCGAACGGCTAAACCATCAGAGATCAAGGTGTTAAGCGATTCATTAACATCATCATAATCGAAAGCAGTACTTCAGCCATCCGATTTGCTGCAATACAATCATAACGACCTACAGTACGAAGAATACTAAGAGGGAGTTACCAGAAAACCTTAATCCCCTAAGCAAACATTCAGGGTCAAGTCGCTAACACCTTGTCAATAACATAACGTCACAAACAACTGACTATCGTGCAAGGCATCAAGAGTACGCCGGTACGCAGTACCGGCAAAGTCAACTTCTGTCCACCTCGAACCTTACGCCACCCTACACCTGGCAGACAAAACAATGCCATCCTCGGTAAGCGGGGACCAAGCATATTTAGTACGTACCCAAGCCAGCGCAACTTAATCAGTGCTATCTGTTGTTCTAGGGAACTACCCTAGTTGTCACTGCCTAGTACTCACCTACACCCATCACCGTTGCGGACAACGACACTAGCAATGCTTCGCAGTAAACGATGACAAAAGACGTGAAGGCATCTCAGGTCCTCAGACCAAAAGGGTCAAGTCTCACTCCTATGGAGCAGGACGGCCCTCAATGTGGCCTTGTAAACACCGTCTTTTAGACGGAGGAAGACTATCTGTCAACAAAGATGTCTCAGATACAAGAAGGCAGCTATGTCTTTTGCTATACGTGAATTGATTGCAGTCGTTATGCGCCCATCGTTGACGATGAAGCTGCCAACATAGGTGAAGTGATCAATTATCTCGAGTTCCTCGCTACTAAGCGTCAAGGGGGCATCAAGTGGCTGGTGGTCCTGCAGCAACACCTTACACTTTGAAGGTGCGAGGCGTATACCAAATAATGGGGCCACTCTAGAAAGGCTATTCGGGATTAATTGCGCAGCCCCAACATCGCTAAACAACAAGACAATATCGTCCGCATAACCAAAACCAACTAGCCTTTCACCAGGCAGCACCTCAAGGCTTGCATCGTGAGGCTCCGCAAGGGAACATCCAATTATTGAGACGACGGTAAGGAACAAAAATAGTGAAATTAGGCAACCCTGAGGAATGACACTTGTTGTCGGAAACATATCCGACAGGTCAGCGTGGAGCTTCACGCGGTCTGTAGTGTTCGAGTATAGAGCACGTAAAATGTTCATATATTTCATGGGAACACCGCGCAAGTGTTTCGTACGGAATGCATCATTCGACCGAACCGAAAGCACACTTGGAATCGAGGAACTCAAGTTGTCGGTCTTCGGTATGTGTGGTGCTGCTTTAGCGCCTGCCGCAATAAATGGTCTAAACAGCCCCGTCTGCATGGAAGCCTGCGTGCTCTTTCCTAATCAGAGGTTCTCGTTCCGCAGTGAAGCGATGAAAGAGTATGAAAGTCAGTAATCTTTTTGCGACTGGCAAGTACCCCTGTGGTTAGCACAGTCTACGTGACTGTCATTATTTATTCCCAGTATAAGCGATCCGCTCCAGTTAGCCGGGACATTTCCTTCCAGATATCAGTGCTTTGCAGAGGAACTCACCTCCATCCTTAAATAGTGTAGGTGGCAGAAAAGCTGGGCAAGCGGCACGAAAACGATTGAGGGCTGTAATCGTGTTTCGTACTTCAGCCTCCGAAAGAACCTCTAAAGTAACCGGCCATGGCTCGTCCTGCATCATCTGAGTAGGAACAGGTCCGGATGCTCGGGGCCAAATGAATAGATCTTGGAAGGGCACCGTCCATCGAGACATACGGCGCTCCTTATTGTGAGTTATGGCACCCGCCCTGTCTCTGATAGTCTCACTGACGCCAGGTTTGTTGGGACCAGCAGTACGGATCAGCTGGAAGAGATGGTGATAATTGCCTACTGCTCCTGCTTCCTCCACTTCTTGGGCCTGACTGGTCCGCCAGGCTCCCTTCTCAGCTGTTGCCTATGGGCGTCCAGTGGGCGATGTAGGAAGATAGCTACAGATGATTCGACTCTAGTGGCATTACGTATGCTGCCAATTAAGCTGGGAATTATAGAAGGAAGGTTAGTAGTGGGGGTTGGGAGGGGAAACAGGGGAGTAAGGGAAACAGGTGGAAGAGAAAGTATGGGGGAGCCAGCAGTAGCATGGTTTCTCTTATTCGTCCTCATGTATGCAGCAGATAAGGCAACCTTTGATAATATGTGCGACGGCCGGTGCAGGATATGGTTGAATTTTAATGAAAAAGTCATGGTTGTGCGTGGGCTGAGATACTGCCAAGGCGTCCAGATCTAGACAGGAGGACGATTAGGGTCTTCAACTAAAGCCTTAAACTCAAAAGCCTATCCGCAAGGAAGCGGGGAGACAGCAACCATTCGGTTTCACAGAAATGAACATCATCCCATTTCAAACCCCCAAACTGGAGGACCAGGAGACTGAGTCTGTCTGACCACTAACCATTGGCCAACCTGGTCGGAGTAGCTCTCAAGGGACCCGGAGCACCACCCAGTATAGCTCAATGGGTCAGGTACGCAAACCGTCGCACTACCCTGAGGTCCAGTCACGTTGCGAGTCAACATTGAGCAGAGCATCGAAATGCAATGCTTAGTTTTAATGACACCAGTCGTCATGATGACAATAAGTAGCAATAGAGAAGAGTGAGAGAGAAAACGCAGGGGTAAGACTGCAGCGACCAGGTTGGGAATAACATTTATCGCATGAAGACATACATGCTGCTGATATCTAGTGAAAAGGAGATCAGTGATCGGATGTAGTGAGCCGTTACTCAACCCGAACGCCAACGTGCTTCGTTACGCAATCAGAATATCTGGTTTCGCCATATAGTGGGTTTATGCGCTCGCAGCGTCGTTTCGCGTACCCACCGAATTTCACCAGAAATTTAGGCCATTCGGAGGAATGCAAGTGTGAAAAAGCATCAAACTTTTGACCACATTACTTACGTCTGAACCGTTGAAAATACAATTTAACAGTAAGAAACTCACAGATCGAAGACCAGGTAGTGAAAACCTTCGTCTTGTATGCTGTCGTGAAGACGGACTGAAGATATTTTTTAAAAAGACGAAAAGAAAAAAGTCATGAACACCGGTCTTCTCGAGCTTCATACAACACAAATGGATAAATTTGTCAAGAGGTCACGCACGAACATCGTAATGCTAGTTGATCAGTTAATCTGGGTTGTGATAGGTAAGTTTAAAACCAGCCAGTATTCGTATAAGCCAGTAAAGCTTCGGGTAAGAAAAGAATCGCAACTGTTGAGATGGAGCACCAAATATCAGGTCGCAAGTGTACGCAAGTATTAAGTGCTTCCGATGTGCTAGTCAACGAAGGGTGCAATTCATCATTTATCCATCCTCAGTGACGCCGACACTGGAAGAAATAATGACAACTTTACCAGAAGTCGACAGAATCTGGATATCCAGTAAGTTAGTGGGCTAGTGTATGATTTTAGAGAGAACGGTGAAGAAACTCGACCAAGATCAGTTTCACATAGATCTTGAAGCTAAATGTGTGGACGGGCCACCTAGATCCTTATTACAAAAATAAGTGAAAAATACAATCTTAGGCGTCAAGGGAACATATGCAGTGCTCATATAACTTTAGTGAAGTACTACAGCAAAGCAATTTAGGGCGTTTGGTGCGCTAAACCGCTTAATGCCGAATGATTGATGAGACTAGCTAAAGCAAGAGCGTTGAGTGAAAAGCGAATAGAAGAAGGATGTCAAGCTGACTTTCGCAGATAAGAAAAAAACTGAAGTCCTGCAACGGTTTTGAAATACACACGGTCAATAGGTTGCGATATAGCGCTAACAAAGTGTTGAGGAACTGCAAAACAGATGAGAGAAGCCATTTCCATCCGTAAGCATATATGTGCACATATACATATGGTTGGCGGCATCCGGTGTCGGATTTGCCTGTCACTGTGGTCAGCCACAGGACGCCTGCGTCTACGGAGGGACCATGGGTGGCTTACGCTGCACCACCCATAGCTCCAACCGCACACCCTATACCCAGTGTAAACCCGAAGGAATAAGACCGGGAGACATGTGGATGGGAGCCACGTTTCATCAACGGAGCCGGTCCACACTCATTCACAGGCAAACACATGTATGCTGAAGTTGGGAACCAATCACACACAAGGCGGTGGCTGGACCGTAGTCCGCTCTACACTGAGTGCATGGAGAAACTCTTCAAACCAAGCACAACGACAAGGACCGTGCACCCCGTCCCCTCTAGCAAGGACCTTGTCAACATGCACATCAAGCGCAGACACATCGGGGATATCAACCAACAGCCAATCGCTTGAGACTAGGATACCAAACAAAATAAATCGAAAAATGCATCCAGATACGGTGACATAATTCTTAGTTAAATGGGCATATGAAATAAATTGGTTAAGAACAAATATGCGATAAGTTTAAGAAGTCAGAAAATTTATTTTGGGAAAATGTCACAAACGCGAAAATGTTATCGAAGTTACCTAAAATAGTTTAGAGAACGCGTGCTGGTTTATCTAAGATAGTTCGGATGGACATTAATATGAGATAAAAAAGCAAGAGGACAATAAAGCAAAACCACCACTTGAAATAAAGAGACCCCGCATGTAAGCACGCGGTTAGCAAATCGAATGTAGCGAACCTACAAACGCTGCGCCGACTCTGCTTACGTTCTCTGCAAGACTCGTCGTCGCTTCGGTGTTGGCTCCGAGTCGTCGCGCTCATGGCTCACTAGGCCTGCCCGACTCATGCACTTGCGACCGCATGTGCTACAGCACAATGCGCTCAACGTCGATGGAGTACAACTCATCGACGCTCGTCGCTTCCGCGCTTGCCGCTTCTTCTCTGCATGCACGAAGACTTTCTCCTGTATCTTGGCAACGGTCTTTGTGAGCAAATCGCGCCATGCACGCCGATCAACCACCCTCGATCTTTAACACCTGAAAGCAACATTAGGTGACAGGCTCACTTTGATCAGGTTCTGGTAACGAAGCTTTGGTTACTCACACTCACCTGACCCCACACTCAGCTGACCATATAATGGCTGATAAGATATCCGCATCGAATCCATACGGCAAACAAGACCAGGCCACCTCGGGTGTCGGCAAAAGTATGCAGTCCACTGCATACAATCTACTTCGACGCAACACCTCCGTGTCTGGAATTCTGTCGCACCAAACGATTCGTAAAATCCATCGCAGACGCTGCTGATGAAACCGCTCGAAATATCGCATATCCCGCCGGTACATGGTCCACGTTTCACTGCCGTATAGAAGAACGGAAAGCACCATGGATTTGTACACCATCAATTTCGTGCCAAAGGTAAGCTGATGGTTGTTCCACACTCGGTACTCTAGCTTCCCGAATGCCGCCTCTGTCTTCGAGACTCGGATACGCAGCTCACTGTGCATCTGCTGATCAGTCGACACCACAATCACACGGTGGCAGAACCGGTAGGTTGTTTGCAATACTTCAGCACCAATGCTGATTTTCGGCAATATTGATGATTGCACCTCCGGTGAAGGCGGAAGGAGATAGACAGTTCCTTGTGCTGATGGTAAGACCGAAGCTGGCCGCTGTCGAAGCCAGAGCGCTAGTCATGTGTCGCAAGTCATCCGCGCTGTGTGCGTATAACGCATAATCGTCAGCAAATAGCAACATACGGATAGTTGTCTCATAGATTAGGGTTTTCATTCAGAAACGATGGATGTTCAAAAACCCACCATCAATACGGTGCCCCATACTAACACCGTAAGCACAATCCGCATCAAAGAACAGGACATCATGACATGAAGTTATATATTAAACAGGGCAGGAGCTAAGACATAGCCTTGCTTCACACCAGTGACAAATACAAAGTTATCCGAGGTCTGTCCACACAGCTGCACCATCGCCCGCATAACACTGTGCAGACATTCAATTAAACTTACAAATTTACATGGACAAACAAACTTACCCAACATCAGCCAAAGTATCTTGCGATTCACCATGTCAAATGCCTTGGTGACAACAACAAAAGCAAGTACAATGGCTGGTGTCATTCTCTGCACTTCTCCTGCCATTGACGAGCTGTAAACACCATGCTTATGGTGCTTGGATCCGAACGGAATCCACCATGCACTACCGCCACGTTCGGCTCCACAACCCGACTGACAAGGCGGTTGAACAGGATTCGGGCAATCAACTCGCCCACACAACCCAGAAAGTTGATACCACGATAATTCGGGCAATGTTGCTGGCTCCCTTTGCCCTTGTACAGTGGTAGCACAAGGACATCCTTCAGCTCAGGAGGCACCTCCTCATCAATCCATATGCGTTGCACCAAGTGGCGCAGGACAGTCACCAACGCAGGTCAGCCGTGTTTCAATGCTTCATGCGGGATCCCGTAGGCACCGGCACACTTTGTCCTTTCGCAGCTGAGCAAGTGCTCTCTGCGTCTCATGCAGTGTCGGCGTGTCTGCCAGACACGTCTTCACATCGTGCTGTGTGAGGCCGTTCAAAGTAAAGTAAAAGTAAATCGCCAGTTATACGCCGTACCGGCGCTTCGCTGCCACGCGACCACCACCAGTCGCGCGTGAGCTGAGTATACCGCGACGACGTCTGCCCCTACGCGGATTCGAACCGGTGACCTTATGGTTGCAAACCAGACGCGCATACCACTCGGCCACCAGCCGACGACGTTCAAAGTAGGTCAGTCGATCACTGAACGGTTGTTCAAATGACAGTCAAAGTGTTTTAACCACATCTGCATTATGTCTGCAGTATGTGTGCAGGCAGCGCCTGAACTACCATCAGGAAGCGTCCTCAGCCACTCCAACTTCAGTCCATACACCGCCTACAAGAAGTCAAAGAATTCCTTTTGTTGGCGACCTTCGGAGTAGCATTCCATTTGCTTCGCCTTCTCCGTCCACCATGCATTTCTAATGTGATGGAGCTCTCGGGTCAGTCGCCGTCGAATTAAGCCAGACTTAATCTTCTTCCCTAGGTCAGTGGGGTCTGTGAAATGTGCAGCAAATGCTGCATTCTTCGCCGACACCGATGCGCCAATCGTCGCATTGTTCTCGTCAAGCCAATCAGGCCACTTACAGCTTGCGTAATATATATATATATATATATATATATATATATATATATATATATATATATGTACCGGCTAGATGTGCGATATCACGCGCGGTTCCATCAGCAGTGTCTGCGACGAAGTTTGCGCATCCGTTGGGGCGAGAGTTGCTGACAAAGTGGGATGTATGCAGTGGACTGCATATTTTTACTGAGACACCTGAGGTGGCTCGGTCATGTGTGGCGCGTGGTTTCAATGCGGAAACCGAAACAACTATTATACGGTCAGCTGAGTATTGGAAAGCGGCACGTGGGGAAACCAATTACGTTAGGAGGACATGATTAAATTGAGCCTTTCACGTTCTAATCTTGATTGCAAGTCATGGGAATCAAAGGCGGTTGATCGGCGTGCATGGCGCGATCTAATCATGAAGGTAGTTGCCGAAGTGCGGAAAAAGGACCTCATACATGCAGAGAAGAAGCGGTAATCGCGGAAGCGGAAAGTACCGATGGGTTGGACTCCATCGACATCGAACGCATTGTGCTGTAGCACATGCGGTCGCAAGTGCCTGAGTCAGGCAGGCCTAGTGAGCCATGAGCAAGGCCACACGAGACCACTACCGAAGCGACGAGGGTCCTGCAGAGAACGTAGGCAGAACCGGCGTAGCGTTTGTAGGTACGATGCATTCGATTTACTAACCGCGTGCTTGCATGCTAAGTCTAGTTATTTCAGGTGGGGGGTTTTCAATTTTGTCCTAATGCTTCTTTCGCACAGAAATGCCTACTTATACTCCCTTCTATACACTTGCACACGTCGCTTAAGCCACTTGTAGTTATTTCGATAACATTTTCGTGTTGGTAGCAGTTCCGTAAAATAAACTTCCTGACCTCGTATTCATTGGTAAACAACTTATTTCATATGCTCACTAATTTAAGAGTTATGTCACCGTTCCTTAATGCATTACTCGATTTATTTACTTGATTATTTTTCTCTCAAGTGATTGGCAGTTGCTTGACATCCCCGAGGTGGCTGCGCTTGATGTGCATGTTGACAAGGTGCCTACCTGTCTATTACCCACTGACTCGTCCATACTGGCTCTAGGAGACAGTTGGTCGTTGCTGGAGAGGACCGGGTGCACGGTCCTTGTCGCTGTGCTTGGCTCGTATAGTGGTTCCATGCACTCAGTGTAGAGCGGACTACGGTCCAGCCACCGCCTTGGGTGCGATTGATTCCCAACTACAGCGTGCATGTATTTGCCTGTGAAGGAGTGTGGGCCGGCTCCGTTGATGAAACGTAGCTCCCATCCACATGTCTCCCGGTCTAATTTCTACGGGTTTACACTGGATATGGGGTGTGTGGTTGGAGCTGTGGGTGGTGCAGCGCAAGCCACCCACGGTCCCTCTGTAGACGCAGATGCCGCCAACCATGTATATAATTGCGGTAATACGGTTGCGGTGTCGTTCTTATCTGCGTTCTGAGGTACTGAGTATGCCAACGATAAACCGCGAAAGGTTTTTACTAAGAGGATGGTTTAGTGGTTCACCTACTGAAGTATAGAGTAATGCGCAAATATATGCTGAAGTTTGGCAGAAAAAGAAAGGAGCGACGGAAGGGGTTAAAAAAGAAGGCCAAGTGGAAAACTTACCAATATTTGGGTGCTTTAGTAACCTGCAGATTCGAGCCTCACGCTCCAACTTTTGCATATCTAAAAGCAGAATGCAAATGCATGTACTGCAAGCTCAACGAGGAAATCGCGAACAAAATACGCTGTCGACGGAGATAAGAGGAAAAACGTTCAATAGACGACGGAGTGAAGTGTAAACGAGAATTTCGGATAAATCGGGAATAACCACTCTAGCAGAACGCAACCTGGGCGACCGAGAAGTTGTCTACCTATACATCACAAGAACACGAACATAGATAAATGCTCTTTATCAACGCTCTATGCCCTCGCTTTCCACGGCTGATGTGATGGAGGCCGGGTCCGCTATACCATGCTCTACTGCAATACCTGCGACATCATTGTTGAATCCTCCCATTCTCAATAATTCTCCTCTGATATCGGGTCTAGACAATGTGCCGCCTTGTGTCACAGTTCTATCCGTGTAGATAGGCAGCTCAAGACCGTCCATATGCCACGCAATCGTGAAGACAGAACGTTTCCAACCCCCTGTTCCCAATTCTAGTTGGTCACTTTCGAAGTCCGGACGCTCATGAAGATGGGGTCGCAGGCAGCCCTTTCAGGTAACTTAGAAACCCTCTTCATCGATATCTGTTGCATGGCTGAGACCCACTTGCAGGACTCGAGCACGAACCTACGACTGACATCACACTACGCTTATCCGGAGACGCAAATGCTGAAGTCGCGGGCTTGGCCGGTGTGGAAATTGCGATAAGCGCATGCGTAGAAGCTGCGCTGGTTGACTAGATTCTAGTTAATAGCCGATTTTGTGCAATTCGGTTAAAAAGCTCTGTACGATTGTCCAGCCGCCAGGCTACCAAAAGTTGTTTGATTGCTGTAGCTTCCCATGCTCCCATGGATTGCAGCCCGGACTCAGCTGAAGATGAGTTTTACCATAAGCGCTCCGACCTCAACGAGAAAGGCTGCACGAATACCATGATGCTCGCCGGGAACAGCTTGGTAGGCTCGGTGCTGACGAACACGACTTCGATGACCGGCATGGTTATGGCACTAGCAGGACGGGTAACGACTTCTACAGCCCTCTGCTCATCACGACCTATACTTCTTGGACACAAAATTTCGGCGCTCCCGGTGGCTGCGCGTCACCTGGCGACCTTTGCCTGGACAGTTGTGGACGTAGATTGACCACATCGCCATCAGCTACTGAAGAGAGGCTGTATAAGAAACTGAAAATCCATTTGATGTATTTTTTCACCTATGACCACGCAGTTGGGCGTACTAAAGTAGCTCTCCGCTTTAGTGGCACACAACAGTGTCGTCGGAAACGGCTTGACGTAACCAAACTTGTCGCCCTAAATATTACTTGTGCTTTTCATAACTCACTAGTTCTAATCTGAAGAGTCCTCCATCCCTAGACGTTTGGGTGTATTGGACACATATCCAGTGCCATGTATGGGTTCGACAGTATGATTTGCCATTTCGCTAAGCATACCTTCAACCGATGGATTTCCGCGCAATCTCTTCAGCTGAATGAAGACCACCGGATGAAATGAAAATGTGTCAGCTTATACGCCCCGTAACGGCGCTTCGCTGCCGCGCGACCACCACCGGTCGCGCGCGGGCTGAGTATACCGCGAGGACGCCCACCCCTACGCGGATTCGAACCGGTGACCTTATGGTTGGAAAGCAAATGTGCCGACCACTCGACCACCGGCAGACCACCGGATAGTTGCTGCTGATGTTAAGTATAACTCAGTGCACAGAGCCGAGATCAAACAGATCAAGAAAGATCGCGAAGCTTGATGAACGCAGCGTGTCATCGAGATGGAACATGCTGCATCCTCAAGCAACTCCCGCAAACTCATTTTTTATCCGATCTACTGGTGGCAGAGTTTACAATGCAGCCGTTCATTCAACCCTACCGTATGTTTGCGGAACCTGGCCCATCAAGTTGATGGAAATAAAGAGGCTACCTGCCTTCGACCATTACGGCCTCCGCAACTTAGCTCGTCTCGTGGGAGCACCGCGTAAGTAATCAGCGTGTTCGGCGTCGTGTATTTGGTGCCGAAAGAGCCAGTGAACTCCTCAGCACCATTATCTCATGCACCAGGCTCCAATGGCTAGACCACGTGTTCTGCATGAGTTGTTTACACGCCGGAGGTGTGGATGGAAGAAGAGGAGGGGTGGCCAAATGATGATTTAGTCAAGAGGAATGAACTCATGCACTTTGAAGTTGGCATCGGTTGGTGTCCCGGCTGCCTGGTTGGAATCACAAGGATGATGAATACGTTCGGTTGGATACACTAGTTGACATGGCAAGCAGCCATTCACAGTAGCGTTTGTGTTGTGAGTTTCTTTATACCACTACAGCCCGCTTATCTCCCCCTTCCAAACACGATCTCCCTCCTGACGCTTAATATATCCGTCGTCTGGTTTGAGCATTCTATAATTTTCAACATCTTGCTTTTTTCGTGTGTTTTAGCTTTATGTATTTCGGCACAACAGTTGTAGTGTTTTCCACCTGGAGCTAAGCTGTAATGATGATGATGAACCAACTGGAGTTTATGTTCCAGAGTCGCATCTGCTGCATATCTCCCTGCAGGCAAAAGTTCCTGAAGGCTCCCTCTTGGAGGAGGTTTCCACAACAGAGACACAAATGCTCCGGCTTCTGAGGGAATTAAATCCCAATAAAGCTGCCGGTGGGGATGCTATTCATCCCAAAGTGTTGTACGAGTTGGCTGATGAACTTTGTCCTCCGATTAGACTTTTTGCGAATTCTCCACGCAGCTGCTCTCTACCCAATGACTAGGAGGCAATTGTTTGTCCCATTTTTAAGAAAGGTGATCGGCACCTCCCTGATAACTATAGACCGGTTAGTTTGACGAGCGTGCTGCTCAAGTTGTTGGAAAAACTCGTGAGGGACGCTCTCGAAGGACACTTGAGTGTTTGAGTTGCTCAATCATTCTCAGCACGGCTTTCGTAAGGGGTATTCTTGCCCTACTAACTTCTTAACCGCTCGTGAACACTGGGCCGAAGCCGTTGATTGCGGGAAGGCAGTGGACGTGCTGTTCATTGACTTGTCCAAAACTTTTGACACCGTCCCACATTCGCGCCTTTTGTACTACCTCAAGTTCTACGGTATTTCTGGACCAGTCTTACGATGGATTTCAGCTTTCCTAATCGGAAGGGAAATGTGTGCGGGTAAGTTCAAGCAGGTCCTTCAGCAAATGTGTTTTCAGTGGCGTTCCGCAAGGTGCAGCCCTTAGCCCCCTTTTTCACTTAATACGTTAATGACTTATCCGATGAATTGGGTGCGCCATCCCTAATGTTTGCGAATGACTTGAAACTCGGGTTGGTCCGATTGGTCCACTGACCTTAAAGAAGGGTCTGGATAGACTTTGGGACTGGTCCCTTTCGTGGGTTGCCCGTTACTTTAGCGAAATGTTCATTTTTAAGCGTTGGTCCGAATGACCCGCTAACGCGTTAGTTGCTTGGCGGCAATGAGGTACCGCGAGTTCAACGTCAATCTGACCTCGGTGTTTTGCTGTCATCCGACTTTAAGTCCAGTGAACACTGGACGACCGTTGCTCGCAAAGGTTTCAACATGTGGATGATCCGCAAGTCATTCGGGATCATGATCACCGACATGTTCATTAGACTATTTTCGGCATTTGCAAGGCCGCACTAGGAATACTGCGCTCAGATTTGTCCTCCATGCCTGGTTCGTGATAAGATGGCAGTTGAACGAGTCCTGCTGTCCGGGACGAAAATGATGCACGGATTAAAGGTGACGTACCCTGAGAGGCTAGGTAAGTTGGATATGTTTTCCATGTATTACAGGCGGCTTCGGGGCGACCTGGTCTTCACATGTCGTATACTGATGGGTCAGATTAGTCCTGATTTGACTGAACTGTTTCGCCCAACTCGAGCGTCAACCCTTCGTAGCCACCCATTAAAGTTGCACAAACCCCGGTCTGATCGGAGTTCGGCAGCTTTTCGATTGTCACGTAGGGTCATAGCTTATTAGAACGCACTGCCTGCAGACGTCGTGATGGCACCGACGGTGAAAGTGTCCGAGCATAGACTTGACGCTCTCGGTCTGTAGTTTAAAGTCTTCCCCTTCATGTCTTAAACTTTTCCTCGTCTACTACGGCCTATGTTCCTTTACCGCATTTTAACTTACATCAGTATTGCCTACGAAATTCGATAAGCATGTCTTCTCTGTTTTCTTTCCTTTACTGACACTACTGTTTTCTTTTATTCTTCACGTGGCCGGCACAGCGATGAATCCTAGTGCAGGACACGTAGGCATTGTTTGGTTGACCATGTGAATGATGTGTTGATTTCGCTCTCCTTTGGAACATCAATGCACCGGTTTCCCTGTCGGAGCAAGGACGTTTTCGAAGGTGGAACATTCACGGGATTTTCCTGCTGTTCCAGTCCTACTTGAACTTGAACTGTAAGCGAATGGGTATGTGAAAGCAGCGGTGAACCCACTCATAGTCACTGCGCCAAATTGTACGTTGAGCAGTGTACTTAGAATAGCAGTTCAACTGGCTACTATTGCCTTCCAGATGCTATTCTCATATCCACGGCGTTACCTGCTGTGTAAGCACCTCTCCGCCAGTTGAGACCGAGGTTGCCTATGAGCTTCGTCTTCCGAAACGAAGTGCCTTCGGCTCTTTGCAAGGATGGAGGTCCCTCTCTCCTTTCCGTATTGACTAATCTCCTTTAAGAACGTTGGGCCAGAGAAATCATCTCATCGATCAGTGTTTACCGATGATCGCGACGAGACAACCTTGATGTGGTGAGATGATTCGTTGGCCTCAATGATCAAGTGAGCTATGCTGGGTTGTGCTTATGAACTTTCAGAGTGACTCATACTAAGTGGGTCAATGGTTAGTTGCTAGGCAAACTGTTTCCTGGCCCCCATTTTGCGGGTTGGAGTGAGGGTGGCTCCTTACTACATAAAATGACTCCCTGTAGCCAAGTAACAAAGTCCCGCTGCCTTGCGGTAAGGTTTTAAGCCCAAGGCTTTGGCTGAGAACTATAATCGTTCTCCTGTCTATGCCTGGGCAAGCTGACAGTATCCTGCCCACGAAATACAACAATGACTCTAAACTATTTCTAGATGCTCTGGCCGTCGCAGGGAAAAATGAACGGCACCCTAACAACTGCATCCAACAGGGTGGATGGGGATGAAAATGCTACCGCTCAGACCTTTCCATCCTCTTATCTACCATATTGTGCCTTGAGGAAAAGTCTGTCAGGGACAGGTGAGTTCGGGTTAAATTAAAGTAGAAGTCTCAGTGTCCGGGATGAATTAAACAAGTTCCAGATGGTAAGGGTGCGTGGATCAGTATACGTTGATCGGCGAAGCTCCTGATTATAAGGAGGAGTATTGCCGGGACAGGAGGTTCGCTTTCTCGTCGTCTTCATATAGGCGATACTTATCAGGTTGGATAACAAAGCGGGCATGTCACAGTCTGCTTCGGTTCTTTTGTTGAGATGAAGACAGTTTTCTGGCCTAGATGAAGACTGTTCTGCCAATTAGATTCATAGTTCCGTCTTTGTCCACGCTCTTACTGGGAGCACATGTTCACTAGTGCCTGGTACTTCGAGTAATTTGATATTAGTTCATAAACTTGAATTTGTCTCACACTTTCCCCCGCTGATTCAAGAGAAGCCGCAGTTTTTTATCAATAGATGGAAGACCACTCGAGCGGTGATCCATCCTGGAGTTTGTGACAAACGGATCATTTTGGAGCGTAGATTCCAAGCAACATTCGCCTCCATTAGTTCACTAACATAAACCAACTATCGTGGGTCTTAAACATAGATGCAGTATTGGACGATGAAAGCACATTGCTAACCTCTAGCAGATAAACGTTTAGTGTTGATAATTTTTGAAGCGAACTCGAGACCGGTAGACAGCTGTATACATCTCCGGACAATTGAGAAAGCACCCCTTAAAAAGAATTAAAAGTAAAATTTCAGTGTACCTCCCAAGCTCTTCTTTCAATTCATAGAGGTCAGAAAACCTTGGCAAAACTGAGGAAGTCATTTTGGTGTAGGGAGTCGGCGAACTAAAATTTACCACAAAAGGGGGTAAATTATGGCTGCGAATAACGTATGTTATGGCACATAGTCTCGGAAACACAAAATATGGTCGCGCTATACTATCTATTCGGGTGCACGTGGGACATGTATAGAAACTTTTAGTATGTCTATATATTATGCGTCACAAGACATATACTAAAAAATTTTATTCTAGTAAAGTAATAGCAACTGGGAAGTAAAAATTTCAGTTCAGTTCAGTTCAGATGGGGACTGGAACGATAGGAAAATCCCGTGAGTGTTCCATCTTGAGTGGATCGTTGAGCCAGGAATTGATGAAGTGCTCAGTTATTGATGGATCTAAAACGGAAACACCCGTATCGCACCCTGGCCAACCAGTTAATGCCCACGTTTCCTGCCCTAGCAGTCCCTGCTGTGGCAGTCACGTGAAGTAAGCAAAGGATAGGAAGAGAAATCGAAGGTACAGAATAGGGAAGTGCACTTAAATAAGAAAATAATACCAATACGTGAAGAAAAGTAGAGAAAAGAAAATCGAAGTACGAAGATGTGAGTTACTCAGGAAAATGGAAAGGTTTCGTGTTGCCACCCAAGAGCGTCAAGTTGCCGCCCAAACCCCTTAACCGTAGATTCCCTGATAACACTTTCCGGAAGCATGTTCCAGCGGTCGATAACTCGGCGTGACAGCCGGATTTCCGCCCTAATCCGATCGGACCGCGGTTTGTCCAGCTTCAACGAATGACCGCGTAGAACAGACAATCTAGCGGGACTGAATAGCCAAGACAAATCTGGACCAACCTTCCCAGTCAAGATACGGTAGGTTAGGATTAGGTCTCCTCTAAGCCTTCGGTAGTGCATTGAATGCATTCCCAAACTAAGTAGACGCTCGGGGTACGTCCGTCCCCGTAATCCCTCGACTAACCTAGTACCCACTCGTAAAACCCTCTCTAGCTCCATTTTGTCCCGGACGAGGCAGGGCGGACAAGCCTGGACGCAGTATTCCAGATGAGGGCGAACGAAAGCCGAGAACAGCCTCGTAAAGATGCCGCCCGTCAAGACTCCGAAAGAACGTCGGATTAACCACAACATGCGTAAACCTCTGCTTGCGGCCTTCTTCCAGTTGTCGCCGGAGTGTAACGCCGAAGAGTGTACGACGCCTAGGTCAACCTGGCTAGATACACGGGGGAGTTCGACCCCACCGACCAAGTACTTCGCAGGAGGACAACCTCCTCCAATTCGAAGAACGGAGCACTTTGCCTGATTTATGGGCAGTAACCATAAAGTAGACCAGTCCCAAAGCTTATCCAATGCTCGCTGAATAGCTTCGGAACCGCCAGGAACATCAACAATGTTCCACAGCTTCAGGTCATCAGCAAATAGCAGCGATGGTACCTCAAGCTCCGTGGGTAGGTCGTTCACATAGATAGAGAACAACAGCGGTCCAAGGACCGAGCCCTGCGGCACGCCGCTGAGGACAGACTGCCTAAATGACAGACCCCGGCCTACCCGTACACATTGTTCTCTACCCTCCAAGAAGGCAGTCACCCAATGAAGGGCGCGGCCAGATACCCCGTAGGAGGACAGCTTTTGCGCGAGCCTCAAATGGGGTACCTTGTCAAATGCCTTCGAAAAGTCGACGAAAAGCACGTCCAGCGTGTGGCCGTTATCCACTGCATCCGCCCAATTTTCGCGAGCCACCAACAGATTCGTCAGACACGAAAATCCCTTCCGGAATCCGTGTTGTACATTGCTAAGTAGATTAAATCTACTCAGATGACTCTCTAATGAATCTCTCACCAGTTTCTCGAGGAGTTTGATTACTACACTCGTCAGACTAACTGGCCTGTAATTTGCAGGCAGACCCCTGTCCCCATGTTTGAAGATGGGACAGATGACAGCTTCCTTCCATTCGGAAGGCAATGCACAACTGTCAAGCGATTTCTGAAACACAATAGCGAGCGGTCCACTTAGTTCCGCAGCCAACTCATGCAACAGTTTCGGGTGAATTAAATCAGGCCCAGAGGCCTTAGAAGGGTTCAGCCCTTGTAACAGCCTACGAACTGCAGTCTCCGCTACAATAAATTCAGATAGTTCTGAACCCTCTGGAGTCCTGCAAACCAGCACAACGCCTGTCAAAGAGGTTTCCCTTACAAACGCTGCCGCATATTGCCCACTGAGTACGCAGGCCTTGTCATAATCCGTATGCGCATGAGTACCGTCATCACGCATCAATACTGGAATTGACATTTTCGAACCGCAGCGTCTTTTGACATAAGCGAAGAATCTTTTTGGATTCTCTGAAGCTTCGTCTGCTAACCCTTTTTCAAAAGTGAGCCGAGCATTCCTTAGGTGTTGCTTACACCTATTTCTAGCTTTACGGTACCTGTCATAAGTATCGGTAGACGGAGCGTCTCGGTAAGTCCGCCAACATCTAGATCTCTTTGTGAGCAGATGCCTGCCAGTGGGATCTATCCAGGGCGGCTATGCTCGGGCCTCCTTTCTCCTTGTGACTGGTATGAAGGGAGCAGAGACCTCTGTGAGGTAGGACTTAAATTTATCCCAGGCAACCTGGACAGTATCGTCGTCTGAGATCTCACAATGGAAACCAGAAGCCTTGGCTCGCATTGATTGATAGTCTGCTTGCCATATGTTCGGGCGAGACTCAACAGTACTCTGGTAGCGTCTAGACAGAGTACAATTGAAGAGCAAACAAACATGATCACTGGAACCCAGTGGAGGTCCGTAAGTAATGTCACCAACAAAATCGAGTGACTTAGCAAATACAAGGTCTAAGATAGACGGTACTTGGGCGTCCATGTACCTAGTGGGGAGGTCAATGAACTGGTGCAAAGATACTTGGAGCGTAAGTTCAAGCAGATCAGCGCCGAATGTGCCTGACGCTGAGTCGCAAGAAAGATCTGCCCAACAAATCTCTGGGAGGTTGAAGTCGCCCATCACCAAACACTTATTTGCGGACTGGGAGCGAATGAAGTCAAGTACCTCTTTGGATACGCTCCCAGGGCTTCTATACACAATTACAACTGTAACCTGAGCCGAGGATGTGCTAATAACAGCCGACAGAGCTTCAACAGTTTTTTCTGCTGACTGAAATAGGCAAGTCTTCAAAACGTCAAGTTTACAGCTCACATAAAGAGCGACGCCCCCTTCCTGTCGGCCAGCAGAGCGATCGCATCTAAATAGTGCGTAGCCCGATAGATGTACTTCACCATCCGTGATGTCCTGAGACAGCCACGTTTCAGTGAATGCGAGTATATCGGGATGAGACCCATCGCTTCAAGTCCACAGATATCAAGCATCCATTTAGCACTGGCGACACCTTCAAACACATTCAAGCAAAACGACAGGAAACATTTACCAATCTCATAAACAAATCTAAACACGCCTACATGTGAACTTACATCCGTTCATACATAAACATATGCAACAATCCCATTGTTCCATTGTACATTAATTGATCACATTTTGTACTCTTAACATGATCATGCCTGCGCAGGCGTGCCTCGCTTAGTCGAGAATACACAATTTATTTATTTATTTATTTATCTACAAGCAGGCCTAACTCGTACACCTTATTCCTTAGGCTGCGCACATTACTTAGCACTATCTGAAGTTTTTCGTTAGATCCAGACCTGGGTCGTGCGCTACCAGTACTGGCACTGGTAGGGCGGAAAAGGACCGCCAACTGACCACCCGAAAACCCACTAACCGGAGACCTTGTTCACCGGCCGCTCGCCTGCTTTTGAGGTCCTTGATGGCCTCCCAATAACTCCCAAATAACTTATACGTGTACCATCTATTTGAATTATAGATATGTATGAGTATGTTGCGTTTTATAATACATACTTGTGCTATAATATTAAGTCAGTTCAGTTCCAAAGACGAGGGTATGTTCTCTAACGAGAGTCCTGTTACTGAGCGCGTCGGATTAATCGAAAACAGCTGATCGTATTTTGGGGGCGGTACTGTTTGCTGTACGGGCTGATGGGGATGGATGATATTAAGTACGTTGTTAAGGCCTGATAAGGGTGTAATAAAGGTATATTGATTTAGGGGAACTGAAAATGGTGGTGCATTATTTTACGATGTATATGATGGTTTTTGTTTTAGTGCGCAGGTGTTGTTTCGGTTTCGCTGCAATGGCTGT